AAAAAAAAAAAACACTATTTGGTTAGATTAAGTACAAATGTCAAAGCAACAAGTGGTAAGAACGAGAGAAAAAACAAGTAAGACAGATTATTTTACTCATTACGATTACCTTGAAGAGGATAATGAGAAAAATAAACTGGCATGTTATAAATTTGACAACCTCTGAACAAACTGCAAATCTGGTATATCGTTTATATACTCTTCCACAGATAAAATGCGGCTAGGTATAGGAGCCGCAATGACATTTCCCATTTGGAGGAACGAAAAAGAACCGCTTCAGACAAAAGGAAGAAATGACGACATCCCAGTTTCCTTCAAAATAATCAAGTAAGAAACAATTCATCGACGCAACCAAAAAATTTTGCTCACAAAACTGTTTAAGAACGTTATATCAACAGTTTAAAGAACACAGTACAGTGTAGGTTTCGCGAAGATCATTACTGTAAAAGTGAAATTATTCAAATAGTTTTCATTAGTAGTTCAACAGAGGGGGTACTAATAAACTTCTAGAAAATTGTTGGCCGGACATCAAAGAAAAAAAACTTTTTATTAAGAAACTTCAGAAATCAATCTCATACTAAACGAATGATATGTTTTTAGCCACAAATACTGACGAAAAATAAGCCTAACAGCACAAATAAATTAGCGCTTTAAAAGACTGCGAAAAGGCAAGACCTACACTATGCAAAATGGTTACACAAATTATAAGCAATTCAAACCAAGATTACACTTTAGAAAAAAGTGATAAAACGTTGCATAATCGAGGCAGATAGTTTGACTGATAAAGCGAAAAAAGGTGTAAATTAGAGCTTACAGCTGCGTAAAACTCTATATACTAAGTACATCACTTTAATAGTATAACAATTCATTCAGCTTCAAAACTAAACGATCAGTAGTTATCAAAAAGAATAAACAATGTTACTGTAAATAAATAATTTTTATAATTCTTAATTTCCCTTCCCAAGCACCACTTATCATCCGCAAACGTTTCTCCAATCACCTATTGCATTTACAGTTCAGTTTTCTCTATCAACAGCAGTAAAACTCTTCAAATGTTCGGAAGTCTAGAATGAAATAATATTATTATGTAACATTCTATAACAAAACAGAAATAGAAAAAGCAAAAGATCGCAATTCTTTATAACAGTGAATCATACCATTGAGAATGACCGGTTTTGAAGTGAAAATTTTGCTAATATCGTAGTAACCAGTAGACATTTAATTTAGAAATTTGTACTAAATGAAATTTTCGAACAGACAGCCGAGGTTTGACAGATAAACTACCTTTCACATGAAAGGATGGTTTCAAAAGGTGCTGCTAAATTTTGCAGTTTATTCAAACAATTACTAATTTAAATTTCCAGTGGTACATCAAATTTAAAGGGCAGGTATGAAACAGAAAGAATACAATAGAAAGTGACAGCAACTGAACAGCAATACTAATAACACTCCACTTGTGTTTTTTCAACTCCCTCAAGAAGAAAACGACTTCAGAACAGAGAAAATGTTAGCTCTGATACTACCTCAGTATTGTTTATTAAAACTACTCCAAAAACACAAAACGTCTCTTCTCTTCCGTTTTTTGCGCTTACAATTTCCAACTGCTTCAGACACGATTCCTATGCATCTCCACTCCATTTTTTACCCCAACCGCTTCCTTCTCAAAAACCTTGTCGCGGAATGCATTGGTCGTCGGTAATGTAAAAATCCATTTATTTTGCGAACACCGTTCTCTAATTTTGGCGATTTCCACCTACATGCCTTGAACATAAAAATACTCTCAACCAAACATGAATAACAGCAAATTTATAACTCGTATAACTATAAAGTTGAACAAAAACTTATCTTTTTACAACCTCCCCAATAACTTAAGAAGGTGAATAATGAATTCATAACGCTTATAAGCATATTAAATAAGTTTCTAATTAGTCAAAAATAACGGAAGGAAACCCATTAACTGACACAATCTACATTATAGCAAAGGAAACATGATGTGCCTCCGAGGCAAACAACTATAGCACAAATAAATGAATCGTTTCATCACAACATTCAGCAAGTGCATTCACACAAAATTATTGCAATTTCCAGTATCATATTTTTAATAGCTGGTAATATAAAAACACCTTTCCGAACAAAAACGCTGAGCTTCGCAGACGTTTCAATATACAAAAAGAATGAGATAAAAAAAAAAAAGATCTCCTTTTCGGAACAGTTTTTGGGGCTGGCAATATGAACTACAGCAACGCAAACCTTCTCACCACCTCAAAGATAAAAATTACGCTTATTTATACAGATGATAAGAAGAAAAATTTGTATAGTAGAAATACTGTCACTTGCACCGAGAGCTTAATTTTTTTTTTTTTTTTGTACAACCCAAAATCTATGTTTTAGCATTTTATTACACTTCATGTTACTGATTACGCATCCACCTGTTCAACTTCTTAGCTTCATTGGTATTCCGCAGACGGTTTAATCTTACAGCTAACAACACTCAACTGCTAAAAAATTTCTTGTTTTGTTTGCTCGGTACAAAACATCATAAAAATCTTGAACTTCTTCCGTGAAATGAAGGTCGTTTCTTCTTTTAGAACCAGTGGTGTTTCCATGTCTTTTGAACAGTCTCTTTAAACCCTAGTTTTTCAATTAACTCAATGGGTATTTTATCATCCGATGCCCCATATCAGTTTGAGAGATTTTACACAATTCAGCAATCAGAAATAAATGCATAAAGCAAAACTTCATATTTCACTTTCACTTCCACGGGTTCAAGTACGCATCCACAACTTTTCATAAACTTTGAACAGAAGAAATTTCCTTAATGGGTTTTCCGGAAAAATAAAAATGACCCCACAAATAAAGAATATTAAGCGATCTACCTCAAATTGTAAAAAGAAAAGCCTTTACGAGCGACAGCAATACCTGTATCAATTTCAAGCTTTACGCCACATGTAATATAAAATCCCAACCAAAATCACAGACCTTAATAAGTCGTAACTAAATTAGTTAATTTCAGATATTTGCTATTCTAATAGTGAGGCACATAAAAAACTTAGTGTGAGCAACCGTATAAATAATACTCCTACACATTCTTTTCAAAAGTATCAACATCAAATCATCAAGTAATCAACAGTTTACAAAAGAAAACCGATTTTGAGAGTTACAAATCGTGGGCAAATTACGTGATAAGTCTATAAAAACTACTGATCAGAAAAAGATGAAGAACGATGGTAGTCAAATTATAACAGACATAATAGTCAGTTTCTCGAAGTCTTTCAGAGATTAAAAACATGAAAACAATAAAAACTATACCGGGCAAAACGTAGAAGTGACAATACCCAGCATCCGGAAATCATAATACATCAAATTCATTGACTGTAAAGATGGTTGCGCGGATTACACTGCACTCATGAAAATGCATTTCACCACATTGGAATATTGCCAACGCACTTTTTGCCGCTCTTGTTCTTTGTAAGGCTAAAGCTCTTTACAAAACAAAAACAAGCCGCTGTTTGAGATATATATAAATACAATTGCATAGCGGAAGAAAACTGTCCCTCATAAATCTCTCTGTATTGTAAGTGGATAAGTCGCAAAACAGCATAACAGCAGCAACAATGTCGCAAAATGTTTCTGTAACCAATTGCATTTGCAAGTATATAACTGAAGTTTAAGAAAGCAATTTTTTAGCTGTTTAATTTAGGCATCTAACTACATGGCAATTTGCCAATTTTCAAAATGTTTTTTTTATCGCATTTCTATAAACGGTCGAATCCTTTTTGCGGCCTTTTTATTCGTCGTTCTTTTTTA